ATTTTTCCCAGTGCAATGCATCTCCTTAGTTGCTGACTGCTCTTTCCAAAGGTGTTAATTGTGGATCCAAACAAGATGAAGCTGTTGACAGTTTCAATCTCCTTTCCATTAATCATGATGTTGTCTATCAGTCCAATGGTAATAATCTTTGCTTTCTTGACACTGAGAAGCAATCCATACTGGATACCAGGGAATTTGGAGGATAGCTGTCTGGCCAATGGATGGGAAGAAGTCCATATTTGTTCCCATTCCTGAGAAAGGTGATCCAATTGAATGTGGAAACTATTGAACAATATCATTAATATCACATGCAAGCCAAATACTGCTGAAAATAATTTAAAAATGCCTAGAACAATACTTAGATAGGGAAGTGCCAGAATTTCAAGCAGGATTTAGAAGAGGTGTCACACCAGCAATATCATTACCAATGTCAGATGGGTTCTGGCTGATTATAAGGAATACCAGAAGAATATCTATTTGTGCCTTTGACCATGTGGATCATAATAAGTTGTGGCTCACATTGAGAAGAATGGGAATCCCAGAGCACTTAACTGAGCTCATGCAGAACGCAGAACCTATACCTGTTGTACAAATGGAGCAGGGGATCATTGCAGGATTTAGAATTGGGAAGGGAGTGCATCAGAAATGTGTTTTATCTCTATACCTGTTCAATCAATATGCTGAGCAAATTATCAGAGAAGCTGAACTCTATGATGAGGAAAGTGGCATCAGGATTGAAGGGAAAACATTAATAACCTGTATTATGCAGATGACACAACCTTACTTGCTGAAACTGAGGACTTGAAGCACTTATTGTAGAAGATCAAGGAGTGCAACCCTGCCCTATCCCGTGCCATCCTCACACTTCTTGACACATTAGAGCCCATTGCAGTAGACACCATGTCAATCCACCTGGGTGAGAATCTTCCTCTCCTTTGCTGACCTTCCTCATTTCCAAGCATCATGTCCCTCTTCAAGGAATAGTCACTCCAAAAAACATGTTCAAGTATATGTGGAGAAGCCTCAATGTTTTTGCCTCCAACGAACACTCTGGCTGCACCCTCTTCAAGATGTACTTGTTTGTTCTTTTGAACAAACATCCATGAGATGTTCAGTGTTCTTCTAAAATAACACAGCACAGAGGCATCATTCCTTTT